CCGCGGCGATGGAGCGGGCTCCAAACCTGGTAGGTGACTGCACGGTGGCTCAGGGCTTGCTCCTCGTTTTTCTTCTTTAATAGAATTATTTGCACGCTGGTTTACGGGTGGCTACCTGGGTTTGTTTGTTTTGGAGATGCACGCTGCAGCCTGCCAGGCCCATCGCTCCCACGCCTGGCACAGCAAGGATGCAATCGCCTCAGACAGCAAAGCTGTGACAGTCCGACCGGGCAGTCCGGCATCGGAGGGGGAAAATAACCCCAGCCGAGCAGTCCCTGCCCTGGGGCACCACACAGCGATGGGAAGGGCCGTGGGATGGCAGGCAGGGCTGTGGGACGGCGGGCAGGGTGCAGGGCTGCCTGCGGCCGGCTGCAGGGACACGAATAGCAAGGAGCAGGACTACAGAAAGCAACTTTGTTCACCGCTGGGCAGCCTGCCGGGTGTCAGCACACGGGAGCTCAGCCCTGCGAGGCCGGAGGGAGAAGGAAAGGAAAAAGCATCTTTCTTTTCTCTCTCACCGTCCTCGGAGCACAGAGGGAGGGAGAGGAGGCTCTGGATAAAGATCCCATTCTTGACCGTCTCATCTCTAAAGCTCTTTTTAAACCAGAGGCTGCCCAGGTACAGCCTGAGCTGAGGGTGTACCCATCCCTCCCAGCACACAGCCACCTTGGGGTGGGCAGGGAAGGGACCAGGCACAGCGCGGGCAGGGGCACTTTGGGCTACGCAAATTGCCAGCTGCAACCAGGGCAAGGGGCTTTGGAGCCACATGCATCAGCTGGGGCTTGGGCTAGGGGGTCACCACGACCATGTGTCCACCACCTCTGCAAACTGCCCTCGTGCTTCCACGGGTCGAGCCCTTGTGCCAGCGTTGCTCTTTGCGGGTTGCACATGCCGCCCCAAAGTTAATGTGGTCCTGCCATCACCCGGTGACCCATGTGAGGTGGGAGAGCCCCCCTTCTACACCAGCCCTGTGGCTCAGACAGCCACGCACCATCCTCCTTCCTCCTCAGCTTCTCCTCTGCATCTTCACCTTTGCCATGGTCCTGGTCCCCGAAGCAAAGGACCAAAGCAAGGCAGCAAAGGGCAGGAGAAAGGGCCTGGCTCAGCCCTCCATGGCAGCACCTACCCTTGCTTGGGCCCTGGACGACCCCTATACCACCATGGCAGACTACGAGCGCAGCATCCAGGACATGGTGCGCCAGCTGAGGAACAGCTCCGAGCCAGGCGACACCAAGTGCCAGGTCAACCTGAGGCTCTGGAGGTCCAACCGGAGAAGCCTGTCCCCCTGGGCCTACAGGTGAGCTTGGGGCAGGGACCCTGGGGACATATATGGTGGCTCCGTGCCAGCAAGCGCCACAGCGGCCATGGCTCCAGCGTCATGGTGCTGTGGTGGCTGCTGGGGGGTGCAATGAGAGGCAGGACCCCATTTCACCCTGTGGAGGCATTGCCCTGCCTATCCCCAAGCACCCACTACCCTCCATTTCCTCATCTCTCCAGCCTCATCTTGCTTTCCCTCTCCTCCAGCATAAACCACGACGCAACACGGATCCCGGCAGACATCCCCGAGGCCCAGTGCCTCTGCACTGGCTGCATCAGCCCCTTCACAATGCAGGAGGACCGCACCATGGCCAGCATTCCCATCTACAGTCGGCTGCCCGTCCGCCGGCTGCTCTGCCAGGTGCCAGGCGAGGTGGGGCACAAGCCCTCCGGGAAGAAGAAGTGTAACAAGAAGTACCAGACGGTCATGGAGACCATCGCTGTGGGCTGCACCTGCATCTTCTGAGGTTGCAAAGCTAACCCCTGCAGCTACCTGTGAGCATCTAACCAGCTTGCTCTTGCTTCCTGAGCTTGTCCAGCCCTCTGGGAGAGGGTCACCCGGCTGAGCATCAGGGTGAGGAGAGACCCTGCGCAAGGTGACAGCAGCTCCAAGAGCTCCCCGACATTCTCCTTCCCAGACTCCATCAGCCTCAGCCCAAGCAGCCACTTCAGGGACACCCAGCACGGGGGCAGCCCCTGCAAGTCACCCAGCTATGCAGTCCTGCAGCCAGCCTCGCAGTGAGACACCGCCCCGAGCCCCCTTACCTCCAGGGAGGTGCTCAGCAGGGTGGGCTGGGAGAGGCAGGGAGGTGGCTGCCCCCTCCTCCCTCCCCAAAGTCCCTGCTTGCCTTCATTGGCTCCATTGGTGCAACAGCTCTGGGAGCACCCAGTCCTCCCCATCCTACCTACCAGTTGCCCTGCGCTGGGCCAGGCAGCCCAGGGAGCGAGGCAAGCGGACAGTGGTTTGGGCAGCTTCTGAGGTCTTCAATAAAGCGCATCGCTGGCCCCCGTCTGAGCTGCCCCCTGCCTCGGCCCGTCATGCTGCCCCCCCGGCCCTGCGTGCCCAGGGGTGGGTGCTGCCCAGCCTCCTCCCAGCGAGGCTCTTCTGCCCCCCAAAACGCAGCTGAGCTCCAGGCTCGAGGAAGCCTGAGCGCCCCTGGAAACAGGGAGCACCCAGCAGCAGGCACCATTCCCTGCAAGCCAGGACCTGCGGCAGCCCACCCTGCACACCCATCCCCGGGGCGTCAGGCCAGTGCGCGGGGCTAGGCTCCACGCACATATGGCACGGGAGAGGCCACGGGACCTCCTGCCCGAGCCAGGGCCAGCCCAACCACCGAGTTTCCTGGGGGCAAAGCCAGGAAGGCAGGAGAGGCTGCGGCAGGCAGGTCACTGGGGGGGACCCATCTGCTGCCGATGCCAGTCAGTCTCACCCTTGAAAGCCCCCTGAGGCCCATCCCAAAACCAGATGCACAGTGACCCTTTTTCACAGGTAATGGCATAGACTCCTTTCTAGGAGCCTGGGGTGGGGGGAACAGGGAAACTGAGGCACATGGCACAGACAGCAACACTGGGCAGGGACTGTATTCCTGAAGGCGACGTGCACTCAAGGCATCTGGGATACAGCCTGTCCCTTCTCCCCTAGCCCCAAACCCCCTGGTGTCCCCAAGGCAATAAATACTCCCCCAGGCTACTACACACAGAAGCTCCTGGCCCACCCTCTCCCCTGGGCATCACAGCTCAGTCTTCACCTTGTGCATCAAGTCCTTCTGGTCGATTTTCTCCAGGTCCTGATGCCAGCGGTTGTAAGCCAGCAGGGCCACGTTTTTGGCCGCCACCGCTATCATCTCCATGGAGCTGGCCACCCACTCCACACCACTGAGGTAGAAGAGGTTTTCGTGGAGCACGATGGGTGGGAGGGACTTGGCAGCATCGTAGCGGGGATATGCCTGCCACTCTGTCACCTGCACCGAGTAGTAGGACCTGAAGAGGGTCTTCAGCTGCTGCTTGTCCAGTGGCTGCTGGGAGAGGACACGCCACACCGCGGCCTCCTGGGGCTGCTTGCGACGGAAAGCTGCTGAGATGTTGACAGGACAGATGTTGTCCATGGCGTTGAAGAAGAGGTCGGGGGTGTCGGTGGTGAGAATGCTGGCGAAGGGGAAGAGCTTGGGGTCGGGGAAGCCGAAGTAGGAGGAGTTGAGGTAGCCATGTACCACAGAGGTGACCGAGGGCTGGAAGGCTCCGGGGAAGTCTGCGATGGGTGGCTCAAAGTTCTCGAAGGTGAAGTTGCTCCTGCTGGGGTGCAGGGGAGTCGTCACAACCACCATGTCGTAGAAAGCTGAGCCCTGGCCTTCACTGCCCTCGTAGTGCACCTGGTACAGGGCTCTCCCCTCTGAAAGAGATGGTGGACAGTTAGGAGCAGTCCTGAGCCCCAGGTGGTATTGCCCTGGTCCCCCTTTTTCTAGCATGGCCTCCATCCCTTGGTTTTCCAGTACACATCAGTACTGGACCACAGCATCTGAGGTTAAGGATGAGCTTCTAATGCTTTAGGGCAGTGGAAAGATTTTATCAAGCTTGTGGAAGAAAGCTTCCAGAGAAACCCAGCCTAGTGGGAGAAGGAGGACTGGGGCAGCACAGCCTACCCCACCAAACCCCAGCTATCCATCCCTTCCGCTGTGCTGGATGGGGGAGCAAGCCTGCAACAAGGATGATGCCATAGAAAAGACCTGAGGGAACTCAGGAGGGAGAGAGGGGAACCTCAGGGCTGAGGTCTGTACTGTAGGGCTCCCACTGGATCAGATGAAGGGAGGAGATGGACAGACTCCCGGGCCCTTGCCCAAATGCTTTACTAGGTCCAGGATGCCCTTCAGCCTCCCAAGGCACTCTGGCCCAGCGCCCCCATACTGCCATCACCAACCAACATCCTGCCCTGGTGTGCCCAGACCCATGCTCAGGCTGGCGGCACCCAGAGCAGACCCCACGCCCAGGCTCACCCGAGCTGTGCAGAGAGATGCCCGTCACCCTGGCTGGGATGACATTGGCTTTGGTCAGCTTCAGCAGACCCGAACACACCAGCTTGTTGCCTCCTTCCACTGCCCAGGTGCTGCCCTGGGCCCCCGCCAGCGACATGGCTCCTAGGGAGACGAAGAGGAGGGTGGCTCAACAGTCTGCCCATGGAGGGGATGCTGGGAAGGAGAGTCACACGGGGAGGAGAGGGGCCCCGATTTCACCTGCGAAGGCAGGCACCAGCACCGACTGCCCGTAGCTGGAGCGCAGGACAGCCGCGATGACGTCGTCCACGAAGCGCTGCGTGACGCCCACCTCCAGCAAGGACTCGGCCACCGAGCGCTGTGTCATGTTGACGAATGCATCACCCCCCAGTGAGCGCAGCAGCTCCTCCAGGCTGGAGAAGGCGTAGCCGTGCGCCTGGTATTTGTAGATTCTGGAGGGGATGGGAGCACAGGGCACCTGGTGATGCCCCATGCTGGGGAAGACCCCCTGTGTCCCCCCAGCCCCACAGGCTCTCCCACCTCATGAACTTCTCCATCACCTCCTCCACCCACATCTGCAGGCGCAGGAAGCTGATGCCATAGTGCCACCAGAGCCGGAAGAGGTTGAGCAGGTACCAGTCGGTCTCCTCCAGGACGAAGTGCTCCCCGCTGAATATGGCGCTCTTCCCTGCCACCTCACGCCGGTGCTTGAGACCTGCAGAGAGCAGAGGGGCCC